TACTGACCCGATAGAGACTGTTTAAAATTTTTCATTCAAAGCAGGAGTAATTCTCTTTGCGAACTACCTTTGATGCAAGACAGCGCACCAGTTGGCAAGAATAATTCATCATCGATTTTAGACGAAAAACTAGATTGAATATTATTCATCTCAAATGACGATACACAATTGTCTATTCGTCCTAGCCAGTGAAAGGAAGCAACATCAAGGACCTTTCCTTTCAATTATTGCTAAAATCACGAGCCATTCTTTGTTTCCTAACCTACTCAGTGTAAAGGAAAAGAGCTTACACTTTACTAGTATACACTTTTATAAAATAAGAAAACTTTTCAATGCATTTTATTTCCATGAAGTGAAATAAATCATTCTGCATGCCTATATTATATAAATCTATATTATATAAAGACATTGTCGCTTATACTTGTAGTAATAGACTGAAAAATTCCTTCAAAATCTCACTTCGTTGGCACGTTGTTTCGAACCTCATCAATAGCGCAGCAAATGGACTAAGGTTGCTTGGTTAATTTAAAGACATCCCAAACATCATTTCAGTAGATAATGTCTAGGGCGTAATGAATTATTTAACATTTAGATCCAAGACTTGTTTTCCTTATACTAAAACATTAGATACATGTTCAATTTAAACTAAGGTCAGAAAGGGAGAGGTTGGTTTCGTTTACATCAATGATTCCTAACGTGGGGCGCATGCCCCACCGCTGGGACATGGTAATAATTTGGTGGGCCATGAGTAGGATTTACATCCTTCGGTTTACTATACCAACAGAATAGGAGGGCTATTCGAGAATGAGTTATTAACACTGAATTGTTTTCTAGTGAGTTTGAGTTGGAGTGTCAATGTTTATGTGTGTTAATACATACGATGCATATACAGTATGTATACATAAACATATTTTGTGTGTATATACGTACATGTGTAATTTTGAGAATTAAATGTTACATGGGGGGGCAGAATTTTAGAAATCTCAAAGTGGGGTATGGCCCAAAATCGGTTGGGAAGCACTGGTTTACATGAAAGGCTAAAAGACAGACGCAATTTTTGTCCCTCATGAGAGTAGAAAACTTAGATATCCTTTCAGTTTGCATTAGATTCATAAAGGTAGGCACAAATCTAGTTTAAAGAACAATAACAAAAATAGAAACAGGTCCGGTTATTCTTTTAATAATTTCTGCACAAGCAAGGCGATAAGGCCCTTAAGAAGCAGTGTTTTACTGAGGGTGTAGGAAACTAAGAAAGCGCTGTTGAGCGGAGAAAGACAATAAAATGTGTGATGATCATAGCTGAAAAGAATGCAAGAAGTAGGAAAATCGTTCCATATTCGAGAATGGCCAGAAAAGAAAATATACGAATAGAAGGCAGGAATACATGTATCCATTTCAACTCAAATTTTCGCTGAAAAATCTAGCGTTGCACTTAAAATCCCGGGGTTGAATTAACAAAGAGGAAATTTAATCAGAACAGTTGCATTGAACATCTTTTTAGATAAAGGCACAAAAAAGTGTCCTTACAGCGGTGGTGGGAAAGTGATTGAAGCTGTGAAGCCAGACCAGGACTGATGACATTGCAGATTGCTTCTTTGGATTTTGTCAAGAATCACTAGGCATATAAGAGAAGCACCCGGGACACTTTGACATGTTGCAATAGTTGGAAAGCTTGTTTCGCTAGATCAGTTACGACTAATTAGTGATTTCGATCGGAATTGCTAATTGCTGAGCCAAATCCCAATTTCCGTTGTGTTTGTTATATTCATTCACGCGTAAAATATCCTTAGGAAAGGTATGAATCTACCTACTCTTCCCCAGCTATGGGTTAAATAATTAGTAATTCTTGTATAACTAAACAATTATTATATCCCCCGCCCAACAAATCTAAAAATATAATATTTCCTAGCTTAATTAACCTACAAAGTTTGATAAGCAGTAGAAAACGATTATATATATATATATATATATATATATATATATATATATATATATATATATATATATATATATATATATATGTATATATATATAGTAGTTCTCGTATTCTGACCATGAGACCCGGGTTCGATCTCTCCAAGATTGATTTGTCAGGAAGGATGTCCAGATGTTATCGGACTAGAGTGGGGTCGATCCCTCCATAAATGATTTGTCAGGGTCGATCCCAGCGTGCGGAACCTTGGGAAAGTACCTGAAAACCATACCACGATTTGTCCCAAGCCTTGCAAATGAAAGTGGGTAGACGGAACCCTTGGGTGCTGTCGATAGCTGTGCTAGCACGAAGTCACAACTCATCGTGGCCAATGGCTCGATCGTGCTGTTATTGTTCAAATTTTGATCAGCTAGATTACACGCTCTTTCCAAAAAACTGTAACTATATATATATATATATATATATATATATATATGGAGAAATATAGTTTTACGGTGTGATATACTTATGGAATGGGATAAAGTGTTCGATTCAGAAAGATTGCGTATGTAAATATAAATATAAAAGTGAACATTGAAGTCAAAACTCAGAGGCGGCAGGCTGTTTCATGCTAGACGCAATCGACAGACCGCGAGTGTTGGATTTTTCTCGACTATTTATATTTTCGGGACAGTGTTGCATTGTGGGTAATCCATTATGGCGGTTATTTGGGCGGGTGTGGCTTGTTTATTTATTTGGGTTTATTTGGGTTTTTTTACTTGTTTTTTATTTTCATTTTTTTTATTTTCGGTTTTCTATGTTTTATTAACGTAGTAAAAAAGTTGCTTAAGTCAATTACCCAAAACATTCTTTTATTGCAAAAATCGCTAGGCACGTTATTTCTGAAGTTTATTTGTTTTACACAGGAAGTTCTTGTAGTTCAGTCTGTTAAGTGCCGTACATAACACACGCCATTTCGATTCATGATTGAATTTCACGCAATAAGTTTCCGTTTCTTTATATGGTAGACTGGTTGCCAAATAAGGCTATAGTACCTAATATGCCTTGCTATTCTATCTATAGATGGTTTGTGAAAAGATGGCTGCCTTTACCCATAGCTATTTGCACGTAAGTGAATGAACCCGACTGAAATTCGAACCCTGCTCTCCGATTTCTGAGTCGTTGTCAATTCCACCACAACGGCCAGCACATCATCTTGTAATCACAGTATTTAATATCGAAGGCTGAAAAATGAGTAATGATTATAAGTTAATCATTATTTATCTCTACTAGGAATTTTTTTTGCAGATCCTGAAACCCACTCATCAGATGACAAAAGTATTTTTGATTTATTTTCATATATCATGTTTATCTTACAAAACGTTAAGCCATGACGTAAAATTAATTGAGTTTGTTTTTTTAAGAGGCTGTTTTATGACAAGTTTGTCTTTCTTTAAGGAGGTTGTTTTATAATTTTTTATTTATTCATTCGGAAGTCAGGTATTGTGACATTTAAGTTGAGTTATGTGTGTAGCGAATAATTTCCATTTTGGAAAGGGATGTGGAAATGTTTTTATAATTAATTAATATACAAAACGGAGTTTTTTGGGCTATTTATAGCTTATTAGTTATTGGATATATTTGGCTTATCTCTCTCTATATGTAAAGGAGTTTTTTATTCATATTATCATCTTATTTATTGGTAGGCTTGATAAGTTTATATTTCTGTATAAGAAATAAAAATGAACATAGTTATATTTCGCGAATAGGAAATGTGAAAAGAATTGTTTGTTTGCGTCATTCTATACTTAATATGTATCATGTGGAGAAATAACGGAGTCAGTCAAAACTAATACACGCGTTAATTTAATTACAACATTTAATAACAAAAACCTTCGAAATTTATTATCATATATAATGAATATCAGAGAATTCAAAATTGCGTCCTCAGTGTAGCTGTCTTCCTTTTCTGTCATGGTATTCAACTTTTACGTGTATATCTGATTTATAATAGCTCCTTGGCTTCCTTCTTAGCTCTGCGGCTTACGATTGTTTCACGTTGGAACGCCGGTTCCCGTACGATGGCCGAAGTTAAGCAACGTCACGCCGAGATTGGTTCGGTTTGGCTTACAGCATATCAACGTCAATGTATTAATTAATGCCGATAAAATTTTTATTGCTGGTAATATTTAAAAAAAAATGTACTTCTGGTATTAAAATCTAATTTTTACACTTACATAGCGTTTTGACCCCAATTTGGGGGTTAACTATTTGTCCATAGCTGGGGCCCTTAGCTGCTGCTACCATACCGGGTCAGGATAAACCTGAGAATACCAACAATTAAGAGATGGATCCACGGTCCTCAAAACCTTCTAATCAGAGGCCTTGCTGTTGGACGTAGTTTATCGTATTACCCAGAACACGGATTTAGTTTATCGTCATACCCAAGACGGGTCACGCCTGGTCCGTACCTAAAGGGTGACCTCTAGAGAATACCAGGTGCTATAAGCTTAGATCTGTGGGAGGTGTAAGATTCGTTGTGCGGGTGGGGTAATAAATAATGCTTCGGAATTGTTAATCGGAGAGCCGTGTTCCAATTCCCTTTGACTTTGTAGTATTCACTTACACACAAATACCCGTGGGAAAAGTATGAATCCACCAGTTCCCCCGCAAGCTAAGGGTTAATTAGTAAAATGTGAGTCACTAAACTATTATTACCTCCCCATCAAAAATAATCGAAAAAAATATTTGCTGACTTTAAATAACCTGCAAAGGGTTGATAAGCTGCAGAAAACTATTAAATCAATCAATCAATTCCTAGAATTGCCTGCTACATCGGAAATTTAGAATCTGAGATCAAAATCAACACGAAAGTGCGGATCTACCGGGCTCTTCTGAGGACGTCCTTCTCTACGGCGGCGAGACTTGGCCAGTGAGAGCTGGGGAGCTTCATAAGCTCGAGGTATTCGATCACTTCTACCTCCGGCGAAGGCTCCGTATCCGTTGGCAAAACTTCATCTCGATCACCTCCGCAAAACTGGTTCTACTCAACAATCTCTGTTCACAAGAGATCTCCGGGCGTTTGATCATGCTCTTCGCCGACAATTTGGCCTTTTCGTTTTTCAGCGTTACTTTTCTATTACTTTATTTTTACACTCTGTTATTAGTAATCAAGAGTGGCCTCCACTTGTTTCGTTATTATCTTCTTTGAGAGAGCTATTTCTGTTTAATGGGACTATGAATGGACATTATACGCGTACCTTGTATTCTCAGTTGAATAAAGCCTTTTATCATTAAACACTCCTTCATTTTTCTGTTTTATTTTCAAACGTCTTTCTCTCCGCTACACCACTGTCTTCTTTCTCCTTCTCTAGATTCTCTTTTCTCTTGTAATTGATTTCTTTACTTCTTTTTCTTTACCTTTCTCTAACATTTTTCTTTCATTTCTCTGTACGTCTTATAAGCGCTATTTCTTCCTCTCTGTTTCTTCCCTTGTTCTTCTCTCTCTCTCTCTCTCTCTCTATATATATATATATATATATATATATATATATATATATATATATATATATATATATATATATATATATATATATATATATATATATATATATATATATATATATATATATATATATATATATATATATATATATATATATATATGTATATATATATATGTATATATATATATATATATATATATATATATATATATATATATATATATATATATATATATATATATATATATATATATATATATATATATATATATCCTTCCTTTCTCGTTTCTCATTATTACCTTCTTTATATGCAGCTGTACCAAGCGGACCGGAGAGATAAAATAGAATGAGTTCGAGCCCAAGTAGACCGTTCTTCCAAGCGATAACTCTCCTTTGGGAGAAGGGCTTGTGCAATTACATGGCGCCTGAGCCGTCTCCATTAGATGAAGTGCTGAAGTGGCTTGAGGAACTTTTGCCCATAATCCATGTACGTCGGGCTCCAATCTCACTTTATACTCGACCTTGTGTCACGTTCCGTTCATTTTGGCGTAAGTATATTTATATAAATTATTAATCTCCTAAAACTCTCCACTTTTCCCTCAAAGTCTACCTTTTCGACCTTTGCTCTTTATCAAACAACAATTTCGTTTTGCTATTGTCCTTTTTTGTTATTACAGCTTTCTTTTATCTGATCTCTTATTGTATCTTTCCATTCTTTAAAATTATTTTATTTGTTGTACATTTTATTCTCATAAAGTTTTTCCTCCTCCTCCCTAACCTCTGTTATTCCAAACTTTCCCTTTCTCTCTTGATATTCTTACTTTTTAGAGTCGCTCTTTCTTTTCTATGCTTTATTTTACTCGTAATATTATTCCTACCTTTCGACTCAATCACTTTTTCTATCTGCCATTTTCATCTCTACTTTTGCGTTCCTCTTCATAATTTTAATGTCTCTGATTTTTTTCTGTTACATCGTAAACATTATTTCTATATTTTTTTTAAAGTTTTGATCTGAATTTTCGTCACCTCTTTCTTTCTTTGTCCCTCTCATTCAATGACTCTTTCTCATTCTCATATTCTTTTTTAACTCGCTGTCTTCACTGCCTCTTTATCTTTTATTCTTTCATTTTTCTTTCTTCCTTTCTCCCTTTTAATCTTTCTCCTTTTCTTTTTCACACAGTTTTTCAGCCTTCGTCTTCACTGTCCACAAAACATTCATTCATTCAGTTTGTTTGTTTGTTTCTTTGTTTCTTTCTTTCTTTCTTTCTTTCTTTTGTACGCTTTTACTCTCTGTTTCTGTCCTTTCCTCTTTTACACATAATGTTCTCTACCCGTGTCTTCTGCACCATCCAGTATTCATTTTCTCTTTCCTCCACTGTCACACTCACTGACCTTTTCTCCTTCACTTACTGTTTTCTTCCCCTCCGTCTTCACTACCTTCTCAATATTCTTTCTTTCTTTTTTTTCTCTCTTTCTTCCCCGCCTCTCTTTGTGCTTTTAACATTTTCTCACCCTCGGTTCTTCTCTGCCACCATAACTTGCATTCCTTGATTTTTTCTTTCTTCCTTTTTTTCATTTATTGATTGCCTTCTCGCTCTCTCCTTTTCTCACCGACTATATCTCTATCCTCTCTCTCTCTCTCTCTCACACACACACACACACACACACACACACACACACACACACACACACACACACACACACACACACACACACACACACTCCCTCTCCACTTTTCTACACAGATTCCTCAGCCTCGGGTATTCATTGCTCCCATATCTTGCATTCATTTATATTTTCTTTCTTTCTTTCTTAAGAGAAAACAATTATCTGATGAAGAAGCCCATAGGATCGGAGCCAAATTGACCAGTTTCTTCTCAGGGACCCTAATTAAAAGCGAGAACTATTGCCTCCTTATGTTTGAGAAATATGGCGCAGTTGAATCGGTTGTTAAGTTTAACGAAATGAAATTCGACAAGTCAAGCGAAAGAGAATCCAACAGACTGTTGCAAATGGTGGCGTCTTCATCTATCAATGCTAAGGGCTGTAGTTTTAAACCGTTCGATGCTAGATAAACGTCATGGCACTAGAAAATAATTATGTGTTATGTGTTTCGTTTTTGACATAGATTTAATTAACGTGAACGCTATTTGTATTGCTATTATTAACATCATTGTGATTCTGGTCATCGATTAAAATTACATCCATTATCCATTACAGCATTTTCGATCCTCACTAGGATATGATGACTTATTAACTATTACTGCAGAAAGAAAATCTTAGGAAAAATGACTCTATCTATAAACAAGCATGTCACAAATAGAACTTATTAAACGAAGGCGTGAAAATTTTCATTCATCCTAACGAATATATAGTGGCTAAGCAAATATTAAATGATTATAAAGGAAGAAATTAAATATATCTTTTCATGTTGAATTAAATATATTCTAATGTTAATTATGTTTTAGGAATATGTCCTGAAGATGGTCTACTAGACCGAAACGTCCGACGTTGACATTATATTAACATTAAAACAGCATAATTGCATATTAGGATTTTTGTTTGTTTTTTCCGTATATTTTTTCTTCATATATATATATATATATATATATATATATATATATATATATATATATATATATATATGGTTTCACCATCACTAATCTGGGCTCTGAAAGGTGCTGGATAAGAAATTGTTACCGGATAATCGATCTTGTTAGAGTTATCTCTAGTTCTTTAAGTAATAATATGTAGATGCTATTTATTTTGAGAAATTCCACCTTGTCTACGAGAGGGTTGAAAATTCCCTATGAAGGGGTAATGCTATAAATTCTTGCATACATTAATTTCAACGCTTATTAATAACAGCATTGCTTATTTTCTGGTAAAGTGACAGTTAAGACTGTTCATCCTGTTGGTCAAAATAGTCAATAGAGCAGATATGACGTAATCATCACTGCGATACTTTTTTCCAGCCAAGTTTTTTCTCGTGTTGGGGAACAGATGATACTCAGATGGGGTCAAATCAAGAGAATAGGGTGGGTAATCAACGACTTCAGAGTCTCAAACAGCAGCCATTGAAATGAAAAACTTGTGTGATGAAGCATTGTTCTGGTGATTCGAGACCCCTTTCGTTAGTTTTCCTGAGCATCCAGTTTTGATAGCCTTTCGTAAGTTGGCATTGTACTCTTCATTGATGGTATGTTCTCTTGAAGATGTTCAACAACACACAATCCCTTTTACATCCCCAAAAGCTGAGCAATCACCTTCACTGCAGATAAAACGACCTTGGCGATCTTTGGAGCAGGTGAGGAGAGGTATTTCCACTGCATGGTTTGTTTCTTAATCTCTGGCTCAAAGGCTGAACCCAACACTCATCCTGAGTTCGGAAACATTCGATACCAGCTGCATCTCAGGCAAGTAATATCAGATTTTCCCCTGATGGGACCAGCATGATGCCAGATATCGTGGGACATACTGAGAAGAAACGTACGTCCAGATTTTGGGTCATCTTCAAGACTCTCCATTCCTCTCCTAAATTCAGCTGTCCACATTTGGACAGTTGATAAACGTGGAGCATCATATCCTAATATAACAAACATATCAGCATGTATGCCATTGTGTGTTAAACCTTTCTTCAGGTACTTGATAACGCAACAATGCCAAATGTTGTTCATTTTCAAGAGAAGCCGCTACTAGTTACTTTTGAAGTCTTTGTTGAACAGCCAGATAACAGTATACCTGGAAAGAAGAAGCTATGGGGAGAGACAGATTCAAAACTGTCTAAATGTGTCTGTGTGAAAGCGAACGTAATCACCTCGTCTGGACTCTGAACTGAACAACTCTAATACACTCTCCACCCCAGTAATATCTCTAGATAACACACACTTTATTTTCCTTTATTTTTTGGTTTATTCTTTCCTTTTTTATAGCGAAGAATAAAATCTTAGGATTTCTTACCCTTGAGTATGCAACATACAACTGGTTATGCGTAAATATATCTTTGTGGGGCAAAATTCAAACTTTTTGAATTGTCTGAACTTGCGATATTTTTATTGTTTTCGCAAACGCAGGGCGAACTTGAAATTGGATTCTTGTATATAAAAACTTAAAGATAGTTATGCAAAAAGACAATGCTGCAGTTTTATTAAATAATTGTTACTTTAATCATTAAAATATGTTAAATGTTGAATAATAAAAATATTAATTTTTCCAAAAAAGAAATTCATGAAAATTTATTGTATTAAGCTATACACCTTAGTATAACGAATTGTACTTTGTACCCTCTTAGCTGTTTGCACTTCTCCCCAAAACTTTGTTTCGATTGGTCAATGTATGGCTATATTAGAATTTGTGACGGACGGAAATACATAGTTTTATATATAGATGGATATCATTTCGGAATGAGAACTCGGAGATTCGAGTTCGTTGCATTCACCTATGCGCAAATACCCTTGGGAAAGGTATAACTATCTCTTCTTCTCCCTTCTATGGGTTGAATAGCAGGAAAGACTAGGTTCTATGGCCTTGGTTTACACCCAATCTATCGCCGAAAGAAACGGCATGCTACTGCGAGAAAAATTGTCTTGTCAGTCCTGAATCGAAAGCCAGAAAACAGTATACCAAAAAAGAAGAAGCTATGGGGAGCTATGATCACCCAGGCGTGTATCACGCATGGCACTTACCAGTGTCACTAAATATTATAAACAAGTGCGTTATACTTTTACAATGCATATCTTCTCGGTTGGGACAAGAAACTTTTGTTAACATTTTTAAGTAAAGCTGAGCGATGTTTTTTGATTTCAATAGCAATAAATGCGCCTTTACATTCGAATAAATCGAATAATTTCCCATAACATGACATTGTGTTATGTGGTGGTTTCACAGTGGAGGCTTGTATTAAGTCGGTCCTAAAATAGGTTCGACGTACAAAACGTTAAGAACTTGATATAATAGTTAATGACGCGGCAATCTAGTTGTGGCTGATACTTTAATATCCGACTACCGGTCGTCCAGCATCGACTGTCTGACCAACTCTCTCAGCCGACTCGCTGAGCGACTGCTACTACTTCTACTTATTATAGGTGGGAGTGTCTATTAACTATAGAATAGGTGTGTTCCAGTATAAGACATTGTAAGAAAATACTTGCTCTTCTCCCATTTAATAGTATTGAATTCCACTGGAGCCTTGTTACTTGTCAGATTCTATTTAAAACACTCGGGTTTTTTTCCTCTTCCAAGCGCCTCTCAAATGGAAATCCTTTTTCGAACGACACACCAGTTGTTCAATCCATTCATAACTTTCCGGGCTCTTCAGGCAGTGTTATATTAAGATCAAACTTATTTTGGAGTTTCCGTGAACACATTTCGGCCTTTAGATGCCTATGAATATTGACGACAGGCTGCAACGGTCAATTTGGATAGCCTTCCTGTTCATATTAACACACGGTGAAACGTGTTCGTTTTTTAAGATTCCAATCTTCTAGTAAATGCTTTGTCCAAATGAATCGTCTCAAGAAAATTACATAAAAACAAAAGGAAATAAATGAAAACACTTATTTTGCAACATATTATATATTATTTACCTTGAAAAATATTGCATAATATTTCATATTCCAAATGCAGTAGATTCCATCTTATGGAAATAAACGACGATGGCTAGTTTATATATGCGATTAAAATTTAGCATATAAATTATAGTAAATTATATGAAAGTATAAATTATTATAAACATAAATGTTATCATTATATTATTACTATATATATAAATTATTAATTTTCAAAATTACAAAAAATTTATTAATTAGTCATACTTTTGCTTTAATAAAGCTAAGTAAAGTATTAAGAAACAGGAAAATTTCGTTACAAGCAAAACATAATGTTGAACATAATATAATGAATAAATATAAAAACATTTCTGACTTTTGCAAAACTTTTGTAAGGCGTAGAAAACAAATCAACCGACAAAGAACCAACAATTTTGTTATTAAATATTCCACATCATGACAGCAGATGATTTGCTAAGAAAATTGAAATATTGTAAGAACCTGGATACAAATTTACCATTGTGATTTAGCAAACTCTGCAAATTCTATACTTTTACTTTAGTAATTTTCCCCATTTTGGCCTTAGCAATTTTTCCATCTATCATTCTGTATGACAGCGAATGCTAGAAAATCGCTTCACAGATGAAGAAGAGAATTGAACCATCACAAATGTGGTTCTGATGAAGAATGCTGAGAGTATCATGGACTGAACAGGTGACTAATAACGAAGTTTTAGAGAAAATGGAAACAAAAAGGACACTTATACAGAAAGAATCAGGTGAAGTTTTTAGAACACATAATAAGGAAAGAGGAAAATTTGATACTCTCAGGTCAGATTGAAGACAAGAGGTACGGAGAAAAACAATGAATAGTGAGCTTGTGTAAATGGATGGAAGAACATGGCTTAGGAGAGATAACAAAAAGACACAATTAAGAGCTACAAAGTACGGTAAATTGTGGAGGGAAACAGTATAAAGAAGACGAAGAATAATCAACCAATACGAA